CAATGCGACTTTTTGTTTCGGCACGAACAAATATGTTTTTACCAGAGTCTGGATCAATATGTAATACTTGTCGTATGCGTTATCTCAAATGGCGTAACAATACTGAATTTGTCAACGTCTTAGATCGTCTTGGAAAAGAATCAGACGAATCAATAATGGATACTGACGATAAAGTGAGATTTTGTAATGATATTCTTGTCATTACATATCGATTGTTTTTTAGAATGATGATGAGAATATTGAATCTGGAACAGCCGCGTCATCAAATGATCTAGTTAATACAAACATTGTGACTTTACCATTGAATATTACCATTTCATGTCATTAGTATGTTTTTAATAAAAATTATTGATAAAAACAGAATATTTGTGCGTTTTAGCCGCTGTGTTGTTTGTCGAGAGGTTATGAATTCAACAGTTACCGTTTCTGATCAAGATCGAGACCTTCTATTTATTAAAAGCAATATTTTAATTCCAAAAGGTAGTCGATGTTGCCCAGGTCATGTTGTTAATGAACGTTTACGCATTGATGATTTAAATAAAATTCGACCTCACACAATTACCCAAACACCTTTTTCTTGTACCGATATATTAACATGGTTTGACAAATTCCGAGATCACTATAATTCATTTCGATATTTTGATTTTGATCATCCTATTACAATGTCGGATATTGATTGTTATAACTTAACCGGAATATCAAAATTAAATTTTGAGCACTTGATCGAATTGCTCGCCGATTCCAACATCAAACATTCATCTAATCGATCATTTCGAAATGCTGTTGGTTTATTTTTAACAAAACTTAGATTAGGACTTAGTAACAAAGTTCTTACAACAATTTTTCAGTTTTCAAATCCTGAAGCTGTTTCTCGAACTCTAGCTGCTGTTCGTCAAGCTATGCTATCTAACTTTGTACCTCGATATCTCGGTTTTAATCATATTTCTCGTCAAAGTGTCATTCACAATCATTCTTCTCCGCTTGCTACTCGTTTACTAACCGAACAACCAAATACAGCTGTACTCGTAATCGATGGTACATACTTATACCTACAGGTATGTAATGTATATTTTTGCAGTCAGTAATGAGTATCTTTGCTGCGCTTTCAGAAGAGTCGCAACAACGAATTACAACGACGAACATACAATATCCACAAGCACCGATCACTAGTTAAACCTATGTTGATTACTACCACTACAGGTTATATTGTAGCAGCTTATGGGCCTTATTTGTCAGACAGTTCCAACAATGATGCAGCTATGCAAAAAGATATATTGATCAACAACAAAGATGGAATATTAAATTGGATTGCTGAACACGACATAGTAGTCGTAGATAGGGGCTTTCGGGATAGTACAGGTATGATGCGAGCATTAGGCCTTGATGTATGCATGCCAGACTTTCTAAATGGTCGCCGTCGATTTGACGCACTCGAAGCAAATCGATCACGCTTCATTAGCAAGATTCGTTGGGTGGTTGAATCAGCTAATGGTCGGGTGAAACATTTCAAATGGCTAAACCAGACCATTCAAAATTCAACAATTCCTCAGGTGCGTGATTACCTACAAATTGCTTGTGCTCTTGTTAATGCCTATCGAGCTCCTGTCATCTCTTCATCTTCAAATGATGATCGAATTGCTGTCCAAATGCTGACCTGTCTTCATGAACCAAACTTACTTCGATTGCGCCTTAACAACGAAATTCTTCATTGGTCAAACAATGATTCATCTGACCTTGTTGGTTTTCCTATTCTCACACTTGATCAAATTCGACTAATCACCGTCGGTATGTAGTGATATTATATCTTTCATAGACACTGCTGAACTAGTTTCCTTTCCCTACTGTTTTAAAAAAGAAAATATCTGTCGCATAGAAAGTTTATTTCGTTCTAAAGAAGCTATTTTTGTAAGCGACAACAATCAGTATTTAAAATAATCATCTGCTCTTCCACAACCCTCACAGCGACTTAAGTATTCTTTTCATACCAATTATTTCAACCCTAAGGTCGACATTCATTGTTGCAAAAAAAATCTTCAAGTCAATACCTTTTTATTTATTTTTTAGGAGTGTTTCAACTGAAGCAGGCTCGCTCTTATTCCGAAGAGCATTGTTCAACTACAGACTTGAATAATTATGCTGAGTTTCCGCTTCAGATTTGTCAAACTGATCCTCAACTTATTCGAATTCTCTTTCAATCTCGTCACAGCAAAAGGAAGACGTATTATACATATGTTCAATTTACAAAAGACGAAATTCAGAACAGTTGCTGTGATTGTCCAAGTGGTGATAGAAAAGTTGGCGTATGTTCTCATCGAGCAGCTGCTATTTGGTTTTTAGCTTATCAACGACATCGCAACGATGCTTCTGCATATCAACCATCCGGCTCATACGTGGATCTTCTCGACAACAGTGAGTTAGTAGATGACTTTGTTGAGTCATCTGATGAAGATGAAGACATCTTATACTCTGTTGTTTCATAAAAAAAAGTAACAAGAAGCATACAGAATTAACTTTTTTAAAGATCATTCTATCCAACAAATAGTGTTGTAGTAGCATTTCATTTCATCACTGTATTCAATAAGAACAATGCATGTATTATCATATATAATAGTGAATAAAAAGAGAAGCGGACAAGCATATTTCATCGGCTATCAAAATCTAACATGAAAGTGTGAGATCAATGTTCAACATCTACTAATATCTAAGGCGAGAACTCCATATAATAGTATACATAATACTCTACCTACGATGATATACATACTTGTCCTCAATAACACTTCTTATCCAACTCTAACTCACCCAAAATGTCTAGCTCTCGAAAAAGTGAGCACAATTTTTCACAACATAGGACAACGATGATCACTACTCTAGTTTATATCCCATAGTACTTTTTACATAACAGATACAGGACACAGTTGTTGTAGTCATTTATACGGCCAATTTTGTAGCTCTTAGTGATTAGTATTGACCCTGAAAGAATGACTCCGGTTCTGAATCAAATAGTGCCGATCAAAGGTACACAAGGTTCTCGGTATAGTACCTGGATCAATATTGGGGGTGGTACGCATCACATAAAAAAATCGAAGACAAGATTTCTGCAGGCACTTGTTCGGGCACTTTTGTAGCTCTCAATGATTAGTATTGACCCTGAAAGAATGGCTCCGGTTCTAAATCAAATAGTAGAGATCGAAAGTACACAAGCTTCTCAGTATAGTACATTGATGAATATTGGGGGTAGTATGCATCACATAAAAAATCGAAGACAAGGTTTCTGCAGGCACTTGTTCGGGCGCTTTTGTAGCTCTTAGTGATTAGTGTTGACCCTGAAAGAATGGCTCCGGTTCTGCGTCATATAGTGGAGATCGAAAGTACGCAAGCTTCTCAGTATATTACATTGATGAATATTGGGGGTGGTATGCATCACATAAAAAATCGAAGACAAGGTTTCTGCAGGCACTTGTTCGGCCACTTTTGTAGCTCTCAATGATTAGTATTGACCATGAAAGAATGGCTCCGGTTCTAAATCAAATAGTGGAGATCGAAGTTACACAAGGTTCGAAAAAAGCCTGAATATGACCACGTATTAAGAGTATTCGAAATTTGTTGTAGTGAATTTTTGGTTTTTACTCGTAGACATCTATAC